TATCCACTCATCCACCCAGGACAAGGACACCAGCAGGACATTAAAGTAGCAGCTAAAGAGAAAACAAGCAGACAGCTACAACTTTGGATAACAAGATGGGGAACATAGATCGGGCTGTCCATTAAGCGATCAAACCTCTGTAGTCTTTGAGATAAGCAGGCAGGATGCACTGACACACAGGATGAGATAACAGATGGCATCAGTGCAGATTGAGAACTGACCCTAAATTTCATTATTCCTTCATTGAAATCTATTTTCCAAATAAAATTTCCTTCCAAAAGGAAGTACACAAGATATTTTTAAAACACATACAGTAACAAACTCTACCCTGTGTGGGGATCTCTGTCCCTTTCAGAAAAAAATATGATGAATATCCTTTGTTAAGTGCTTTTCCATATGTGGAGGAGCCAGGCCTTCTGTCTATGAAGTATCAATTTCTCTGTTGATTTTCTAGAGTGGCCCGTAGGACAGTCAGCTTTGTTTATTTTCTATAATAAACTTCCCTATTAATTTGTGCCATTGCCTTAGTTTTAAATTATCACTGAAGCAAGAACCCATGGTAGCTGTGACACATCCATTACTTATCCATCCATCCATCCATCCATCCATCCATCCATCCATCCATCCCCCAACCTTCCATTCACTGTTTCACTCCATTAAAATCCATAGCAAGCCAGCTGCACACCAGACTCTCTTTTGGTCATTCAATCTAGTGGAAGAGATAGATAAGAAATATGTTTATAATGATTAGTATTATCAAGGAGTTGGAGGGTTGGAAGCAGGATCAAGGGAATGGAGACTGATAAGCATATGTGGAGGGCCAGGGAAAGTCACTTGCAGGAGGTAACATGAGGCAGAATCTCAAAGGAAATGAAGAAGTGAGTTATGTTTGAAGATGATATAGAGAACATGTGGGAAGACTAGATTAGTTGAACTCATTCTGCATCCAGTGATAGCAACGAGGGCATCAGCCATCTGTGCTGCATCGGGAATGTGCCTGATACGGTGCAAGCAAGGTGAAAGCTCACGATGGGTGTGTCTGTTTGAAGGAGGTGTAACTTATGTGAATGCTTGAGATCAAGTTCCATATAAATGGAACAGAGATAGGATATTTTCTATTAGGTCATTCATTTCTTCATCAGCAAAGGTTTTGGGGGTGCAACTCACATACAGGCATAGTGTTAACCTCAAGGAACTCATAGTTGAGAGGGGAAGAGGCCACTTAAAAGTATATGTTCATGGATTTGGGGGTTTTATTAGGGAAGCTCTGAACACTCCATAATTGTACCATGAGTAGCACATTTAAACCAAGTAATAAGTGTCAGGAGGTTCCAACTCTTCCCACACTGTTATGGGGAATCAAGTAAGATGGCAAGTGAGGTACTTGCCTAGTATCTACTAATCCCACAGAGAGTGTTGGATCTTTGGCTTCTGACTAACCTAAAAACATAGGCCTCTTAGAAGGAAGTGTAAATCATCAAAACCAGCCTCCCAGGAAGGGTAAGAATTCAGCTGGGCTTATTATTGTGCCTCAAACAAGCCCATATAAATAGAAACAAAGACAGCCCCTACAAAACAATAGTTTCACAAGAAGCTATGGGCTTTAGTTCCTTCCAGCAAGTGAACAAGCTTTTGTACTCCCAACAACGCCCCTCCCCAGCACACATCTGTTAAGTGTTGAAGAGAATACAACTCTTTCCTCAGGTGAGCAAATAAACACATATGCGGGCTGCCTATGCTAGACAGAGGTGACAACAGCCAGTGACAGTTCTGAAGCAGAAATAGAGCAAGATTGGAAGTTGGAAGTTATAAGGGGAGAAAGGAACAACAGCAAGTGTAGGCTAATGTCCGTGCACATTTGCTGATCAGTCTGCCCTCTCAGCTTCCCTCCCTTCTTGGGTAAAGAACTGTGGTCCTCTCTTGACAGTTCACCTGGCTTCCTCCAAATGTCACGTCCCATCTCCAGGCTATGTAGCTGCCCTTTACACCTGGCATCTTACCTGCCAATCAGCCAGCCCATCTGACTACTCGTCAAATCTCATATGAGAAGGCATGTAAAACTTATACCCATTTTGCTCTTCTTACAGCAGTGGGACCCAGAAAACACCTAGCACCTTTAACCCTGAGAAATCAAGGGATAAATTTTTCTTCTGTATCCTTAGCAGAGTGGAGGATGTTTGGAAGGGAGAATAGAAGCAAGCTGATAATCAGATTTTAGAAAGCTCCTTTCTCATAACTGGAAAAATAACTCCAGGAAGTCTCAAAGTGCATCTGATTCTTAAAGGGGAACCACCAAATCCAGCACAAAGTGACATTTTGCATATACCACAATTCTTCCTTATCTGTGATTTTACTTTCATAGAGGTTTTGGCTGCTTAGAGTCAACTGTGGTCCAAAAATATTAAATGGAAAGTTCTAGAAATAAGCAATTCATAAGTTTTAAATCACGATCCATCCAGAGCAGTGGGATGAACTTTTGCACTATTGCACTCTACTGCCGGCAGGTAGAGTGCAGTCATCTCCTTGCCTAGCATATCCATGCTGTATACAATCCCTACTCATCAGCTCATAGCATCTCACCTACCAGATCAACTACTGCAGGATCATAGTGCTTGTGTTCAAGCAACCTTTATTCTATACAATAATGGTCTTAAAGCACAAGAGTAGAGATACTGACAATTTGGATATGCTAATGAGAAGCTGTTAAGTATTTCCTTTAGAAGAAAAGGTAAAATATTAACAGAGAGAAAAAGAGAGGATAGTTATAGAACTTTCATTATGAGATGTTATTATAATTGTTTTATTACCAGTTGTTATTAATTTACTACTATGCCTAATTCCCAAATTAGACTTCGTTAACTAAGCTATGTAAATATGAGAAAAATCACCGTATATGTAGGCTTAGTACTACTACAGCTTCACCTATCTACGGGGTCTTGGCATGGTCCCTGCAGGTAAGTGGTGACTACTCTAAGTTCCAATTTGGTTGAATTTTGTTTATGTCTCTGTAGAAAAGGCTCTTGTGGTAGATTAAGTAATTCACTTGCAGTGTGGGCGTGTACAGAACTCAAAACCTGGCTGATCACAAGAGAATGAGAGTAAGGGACACTCCGTTAGAGGTCTTTAGGTCTGGATCACAAATTTTGGTGCTCATGTTGTGATGTGGGGCAAACCTGTCTTCTTGGGGCACTACAGTTTTTATAAAAATATGTAGAAGAGACAACCTAGGGTATCGCTCTGTGAGCCACCAGCTGCTGCAGATACTCCAGCAAATGCCCTCTGATCCTATCACGGTCAGTTGGCAAGCCCTTTTCCACAGTCTGCCCCAACATCCTCTAGAAACCAAGCTGGTTCAGATAAGAAGCCCTCTGTCCATGAAAACACAGAGCAGAAATACTGAATCCTATATCTGTTTGGAAGTTATTATGGTTGATACATTGTGTCAACTTGAGCAGTTTAGAAGTTTAATTTAGAGACTCAGTAGGGAACCAGGGTTCTTACTTTGTAAATATCCTCATCCAGTGCAAAGGAGGGCAAGATTTTGAGATTCCTATACCTGCCCTCGGGCGAGGGTGGCCTGTGTATAATATTAGCCAGTAGAAGATATTTTTCTCTTCCTTGTGCTCTGGCTACTGCCTTTGAGTGTAGCCCAAGTACCATGCCACCCTGTCTGGGAGCCAGGTGAGTATGGACTGAAACCTCCACAAACAGTGAGCTAAATAAACCTGTATTTCCTTCATTTTTGGTGTTGGGTATTTTGTTCCAGCAATGAGAGAAAAGTAAAAGTAACCAAGTCAGAAGTTGCCCATCTGTCTGTAATTGTTTCCTCCTTATGAATTATGTGTGGATGGAACATCATGGAACCACAAGAGGATTGGACATAGCTTCCCAAAGTCCTGTGTTATAAGAAATCCAGGCTGCTGTCAACATCTCTGCTCAAACTGTGTCAGTTCTAGAGGGACAGCATTATGCCTGATACCTAGGAGGGCAATTATGAGTCCTCATTCGTGTTTGCCAACAGTAATAGTTTAGATGTTGTTACGGTTTGTAACTAGAATGTTCCCCAAAAGTCTTATGTGTTTGGAAGGTAATTAGATCATGGGGCATTATACTCTTCAGTGGGTTCATTCTGGATGTGCTGCCAGGAGTATAAAGCACTGAAAGTGGGTCACTTTGGTGCACTGTGGAAGGGTATATTTTTGTCTTCAGATCCTTATCTCTCTCTACCTCCTGGCTGCCACTGAGTGATAATTTTTCCTCCATCATGCCTTTCTGCCATGCTGTTCCCACCTTGGAGCCAGCTGTTATAAACTGAATCTTCTAAAAATCACGAGCCAAGATAAGCCTCTATCCCTCTAGATCATGGTGCCATGTATTTCCCCAGTAATGGGAAAGCTGACACACACACACACACACACACACACACACACACACACACACACACACTCACACATTTGCAAACAGTCTCTCTTTACAATGTAGAGCAGGGTCCGTCATTTCTGGTCATTGGGGAATTTTCTGAGAAGGGGAGAAGGGGAGGATAGAGAAATAGTGACAAATTGGAGATTCCTCCCATCTCTGCAATTTGCAGTCAGCATGGTTTACTTGGAAGCCGCTGCAGTTCTGGCAATTGTAAATTAAATCATACTGACTCTCTTCCTAAAGAATCATCTGGGCCATTAGTATTATTCAGGCTGAACTGACTGTTGGTCTTGTGTGATCCTGGGGGGAGAAGAATTTGAGGTCTTATTGTGCACTGAGCTTATGAGGATCAAAGAAGGCAGCACCTGCAGAACTCCAGGCGTGGACCCAGCCCAGAAGAGACATCCAGTGAGTGGACACTGCTTTGATCCCCACTTAGCAGCCTGGAATACATCTACATGAAATCTGCAGAGCAATTAGTGAGCGCTGAGGGCTGTATGTTATGAGCAGGATGGACACCCAGAGACCATCCACCATGTGGAACCAACAGTGGTGGACAGAAGGGGATTCATACTCACCTGGCTGCTGCCTCCAGCTGTTCTTTCCTAGAAGGAGAAGAGGAAGAGAAAATAAACAAAGTATAAATTACATGGAATGGCCTCATCTTTCCCCAAAGCCTGCTCAAAGCTTCCCTTAGAAAGTCTTGGAGGAGAGTACTTGTAGCACAAGATGGTGAATGTAGATCAGAACCAAGGAGAGAGGGAAGCTTCCCCAGGCAGGCTCAGGGTGCTGCTGCTGCCATATGGCTCTGTATTCTCAAGATTCTTCTCATTCCTCTCTTCATCGTGAAAATGATTTACTGTGCACCTCCTCTGCCCCAGGCCTCCTGCTGGGCTTGGAGGATTTGTTGATTGTTGGAGGCAGACCAGAAAGCCAAAAGCAAAGAATTGGGTTTCACTCTTTGCTCGTGCATTACTATCTGGGTCATATTAAGCAAACTAATTAATCTCAGAGATGTCCTGATTCTTTTAAAATAAGGTTATGAAAAATGAAGTTATTCCTGTTTACATTCTAGAATATTCTAAATAGTAGATAAGGTAGCATTCATAAAAATAGATCCAATATTACTTGGCCACTGAGAGTGACTACTGCATATAGCCCCCTTCTGGTCCAAGGAAGGTAAGTTCTGGGTATACAAAGGACTGTTTTTGGCCAAGTCATTTCTGCATCTTGTGCCTGAGTCCTATTACCACTGTTTCAGTAGCTACCATCTTCAGAGCTGGGATGGACACACACCCCAGCTATTTAAATTATAATTAAAATTAAAAGTTAATTGCCTCAGTTATGCTAGTAATAGTTAAATGTTCAATAGTCAACATGACCAATGACAAATACTGAATAAAATAGCTGTAGAATATATTAAATGAAATATGATTCCACTGTTATGTTCAGGGAGCCAAGTAATGTGTCTGTTCTTCAGCTGATAGAAAGCAATGTCTATTTTTTAAAAATCTTCCCTCATTCTTGTAGAGGTGCTACTCCCAGCATCCCCTTGTCATCAGATTTCTATCACCTGCTGTACTAAGGCTATACATTCTTCACGAGACTACAAATCAGAAGATCTGAGTTTGGTCCATTTATGCATACCATGACCTGTGTCTTCTCTAAGTTCTTGTACTTCTAGGAGGTCTTAATTTATTCTTCTATAAAATAGAGTTTAGACTTGAAACTTTTTGAAGGTTTTTGTAATTCTCTATTGTAAGTAGCAATAAACAAAAAAAATGCAAAGTGAAATGCTCTCATCCATCACTGCCAGCTTCAAACATGCATCTGCAAATTAGCAAAGAACTGGACTGTACCAAGCAGGGAGTTCACGTATGGTACCATCACTGCAGATGGCCTATGCTATTTAACCCTTGAAAACCTTTGGAAGGAATGAAAACTGGTCCAGACATGGTTGAAAACAGCCTGGCAGTTCCTCAATGAGATAAACACAGAACTGCTGATTCCATTCAGAAGTATACCCCTCACAAGATAACTGAAAACATGTCCACACAAAGACATGTACCTGGATCTTCATGGCAGCATTTTTCATGAGAGTTAAAAGATAGAAATAGCCCCCATGTTTATCACATAATTATAATATAAACACACTACAGTATATCTAGTGGGATATAATTAAACCATAAAAGGAGTAAAATTCTAATATATGCTATAACATGGGTGAAACTTGAAGTCATTGTTCTAAGAGAAAGAAAGCATGCAAAAAACAGTGCATGACATGATTTTGTATTATACAAAATGTTCAGAATAGGCAGAAGAGAAACAGGAAGTAGACGAGTGGTTGCAGGGGATGGGAGAAAGAGGGAATGGGAACAACTGTTGATGAGGACAAGGTTTCTCTCCAGTACAACAACACTGCTCTGGAATTAGTGACCAATGTTGTGGATACACTCAGAGCCACGGAATTCTCCACTTGAACAGGGTACATTATATGCTATGCAAAATCCTCTGAAGGTTGTGAAATGTATCTCAATAAAATTACTTTTAAACATTAGCAAAAATCCTTTGGGGAGGCAGGTGAGGACACAAGTGTACTGCCAGCTGGTTCTCTGTCATTAGTGCATGGCGTGGGCTGGAATGCAGGGACATTCTTTTCCCAAGGGACTGGTTTGTTTCTGAATGGTTGCTAAGTGTACTTCTTTAGTCACTTTATACTTTTTTCCTCAAATAAAAGGAGAGAAAGAAATATTTTCTCTTAGTTTTAAAGCCATTCCTATATCACAGCAGCTGTCTGAAGCACAATATAATCCTCCAAGTCTCTGACAGCTAGGACAATGCTTTATTTATAATAAATCAGCCCCAAAGAATAGGCCCATTGCCAAGGCCTTGGGATGCACAGCAAATGAAAATCATTTTGATTCTGCATCCAGCATGATTTTACATGCTCTTGTTTTTGAGTTCAAGGTCATTCTCTTCTTTTAAGGGAAAGCCACCCCCGATTCTGTCTACACTGTGCTTTGTGCTACCCTCAACCCTAAGCAGGTGTGTCAGCCTTCAGCTTCCGTGTTTTTCTCCTGGTTTTTTTTCCATGTTGAAATTTCATTACTTATATATGTGAATTGTGTCATATATTTTATATGTGACAAAGATGATTCCTTTGAATTAAAAAAAAGGTACAACTATGGTAGGCTGCAGGCAGTAATAATAATAATAATAATAATAACAATAACAATAACAATAATAGAATTGTAGAAGCAAAAGGGATGATGTAAGTCATACAGGATTCTGAATAATCAAGTTTAAAATAAGTCAGAAAACAGAGTGTAACCCTAAGCTTATCTATTTATTAAAGAGTTGATTCATCTCCTAACTCTTCCATAAGTCATTGGTCTCTTTTACTTATTCTTCAGATACTCTCTGCTTCTCTCCTTGGCCTACCCCTCATTTTCTCTCACTCTGAGTTCAGCAATCATTCTAGCTGATCTCCTGGGTTTGAATCCTGAACCTGTCTCTTCCATCCTCCATTTTCCCCCTTGTCATCTTCCCTAAACAGAAATCTGATTGTATCATTCTCTGGCTGCTACAGCTTCTTGGTTTCAGGATCAGTTAACTTCCTTGGTTGTCTGCGACTCTCTGTGGTATAGCCCAAAGCTTAATTCATATCATACAAGGGGCTCAAACATGGAGCGAAAGTAGCTTGAGCTGCCAGTAATCCTTGAGAAGTAAATGAGTCATGGGTGGTCAGGTGGGCAAGATCAAAAGAGCCTGGGTTTGTGGAGTTCACACTCATTTTTGCACTTTAATCTGTGTCAAGCTCACCTACTAGAAGGTTTTATACAGGGAAATGGGTCAACAGAACCCAAATGTCTTGTATTTCCTAAAATCTTTACCATTATCTGGTGATGAGAGTAGAGGATAAACCTAAGCCACATTCAGAGTCTGAAGAGCTACTCATCCATTATGCATCCAACTACAGTCCATTAAAAGGATTTGACAGAAATGCATCAGAGCAGACCCTAACTCAGAAGCAAACTAACTGCCCAGCTATGCTTCTTTCCAAGGATTCTAGGAGTCCAGAACTCTCCCCACAGACTCAAAGCCCAAGCTTAGTGTCTGAAGCCTGCAAAGGAGTGATCTGTGCCAGAAGCTCAAGTAAAAAGACTGTGGGCTTTGGAGGCCTGTACACAGGGCTGACGTGGTCAAAATGTCCAAAGCTTCAGGGACTTGTTTCTCTTATCTGTGCATAGCACTAGGTGACACCCATGTGCAGCCTGTCTCCAAGTGTGCACTGGACCACTTGGTCACCTGAGGGGAAGGCACATGGTGGGGTTCATGCTCAAGATGATTTTACTTCCAGGCTTCCTGGTAGATGCTGAATCCGTATTTTCATTAAATCCCCTCCACTCTAATGCATCTTAACATTTGAGAACCTCTGACTTACAGGACACCAGTAAGGATCAAATGAAATATGGACTTGGATACTTGGACCGTGATAGTTCAATGCACATTAACTTCCAACTCTCTTTTCCTATATGTGGGCCATAGGAAGAAGTATTATTTTTCCAAGGCATTTAATTGAGTCTTTTGTCTCTTAGAACATAAAAAAGCCTCCCTGAGTCTCCAGATGAGTTTTCCTGCCTTTCTCTTCTACCATCTGCCCCTTCCTTGAAGCTCAGAGTGGTCTGTGGGTGAAGGGTACGGCCAGGTCTATAGGTGAAGGCTACAGCACACAAGATTGCTAGGGTTGCTGAATTCATTTGTTACTGCTTCTTTAGACTCTACTGCTCCTCATACATTGAGTGAATCTTTTCTTAAAGACTACTTCACTCTGACCCTCAGGGAACTAGTAGATACAAACCATAAACACCTGCAGTGGAGAGCTCATGAAACATGGATACTTGGGCACCAGTGCTAGGGACTCTAACTTGATTAGCTTGGAATGTGATCTGGGGGTCAAAGTTGTTTTAAGTTTCTAAGTGGTGATAACACGCAATGCACATTGGGAACTATTCTCCGCTTTCCCTAACGGAAACCTTGAGGCCATGATGCAACAGACTACACAGACCACAGTAGGGAAAGCCACTCACACCCTGAGAAATCAAACAAATGGCCCCTTACCTGAAAAATGGAAAAGAAACAACTGATTCATAAAATCTCCAGGTTGCCACGAGGTCAATCCTGTTTGGGTTGGTAGCATAATACCTCCAGGCAGCCTGAGAAGGAAGAGGGACAGGAATGACGATATCACCTGAAAAATGCTTAAAACCTTGATTTGTAGGAATCTGAAAGTGTCCTAAGCAACCCTTCAGAGATGCCAATGTTCCTGGTTTGTTGTATCTCCCTTGGAAAAATAAACTTACTGAGCTAGAACTGGTGTTATGCTGGCAGGCATTAGGGGAGATTAAATGGAATGGAGAGAAATAAGGGGGTATAAAATCCCTGAAAGAAAATCCCAGGAACTTTCTTTCTAGAATGTTCCCAGAGACTTCTCAAGTAGTTAAGAAAGTCAATTGGGTCTTTTGTGCCACTTCTGGGTAAAAAGAGTGCCTGGAAAAGGAGATTTTGATGTGAATGAACCTCTGGCATGTGCTGTAGTTTGGAGTTTGTAGGGGATGATGGGACAGAGTCTGGGAGACTGGGACTGGCCTAGAAAGTCATTGTATAGGATGCCATCATCTATCAGGCTGTGTCAGAACCACAGAGACACCTACCACAATGGACAGAAGCTCACAGGTGGGTGGCATCCCTTGGGAATTCAAGTAAGCAGGACACTATTATCCTGTTCACTGTGCTCCTCTCTCTCAACAGCATATGACATCAATGCAAGGACTTCTCATGAAGTGTCAGCAGGGACTCTGGTGCCTTGCTCCCAGCCAATAGACGGGAGAGATGGTGAGGGTGAGTGGATCAGGCGTCCAGAGTCTGTGGCTCCATCATTGAGCAGGACAAATGGGTACGGTGGCTCATTATTTTTACATGTAAGGAATATCTTTGTCATTTGGATTAGGAGCTCTCTATCTTTGACAGACATGAAGAAACTGCATTTCTCCCACTAACTTGTTGGTTAAACAACAGGACTGCAGGATGACTCTTCTCTAAGGGTTGCTAGGTCAGCTTGGAGTGAAAAGTGGAATAAGCCTGTGTGGTCATAGGTCCAAGCAAAATTCTCTACTCTGGCATTAGCAGTGAAAATCCAATGAGTTTACTCTCAAGTCTTACATTTATTTCCTGCTAGGCCTAGAATTTGGATGGGCGAGCAATAAGACTATTGTCTTCAGTACACAAAGAGGTGGGCCATGTAGATAACCATGACTACTGTCCATAGCGACCCACAAGTATGCAAATAGAAGCAGGTCCACTCCTGCCTGGGTGTGCCTGTGCATGTGGATGGCACACAGACACACACAGACACAGACACAGACACACACACACACACACACACACACACACACACACACACACACACAGAGAGAGAGACAAACACACACATACCACTGTCCCGGGTCCCATTTCAGTTTATTTGCAGGCAGACAGACCTGGATGAGCTCGGCAGCTGGTTTCCTCCTTTTCTCAAAGTGCTTCTGACGGTGCTGCTCCTGCACCTTGAGTGCCAGTCCTGAGCCCAGGATGCCCTGGAGAGAAAAGCCAGGTCACAGTCAGTACCACCATACTCCCCCCAGCACAGGCCCACTGCCAAGATAGCAGGTGATGAAAGATTCAATGGCTCCAAAATGACAGCATTGCATGAAAGGGAAAAAAAGGGAGCGGGAGAAAGGATCCTTCCTTCTTCAGATGGTAGGGAGCTTGAATATGTGGAATAAATCTGAAGTCAGGAAGGCCTGGGTTGCAATCCTGACACCCTCTATCCACTCTTGAGATCCTGGCCAAGACTCTCATCATGCTGAATCTCATTTTCTTCCATAGGTCCATAAGATAACAGTACATCAAGCAAATAGTGCGATAACATGTAGAACTGCCTAGTAAAAGGTATAGCACAGCCTAGACACTCAGTAAACGTAAATTGAATTAAAAAATATTTTAGCAGCTTGAACTATCTGTTGGAACATGTACTGTAGTCAGACTTTCCAAGAATTGAGATCAGTTTTAATTTCCGGGTCAGACCTGCATGTGGATTAAATGGATAAAAGAACAGTTTTCAAGATGCAAGAGACATCAGACATAGTGCAATATCCCTATATTTCTCACCTGTCTTACGTATGAGAAAACTGAGATTCCATCATATCCTCACAAAGTCAATAAGCTTAGGAGACGAAAGATAAGGCAAGGCTGCTGATAGAGGAGTGATAGGAGAAGGGGGCAGCAGAGGGTTTGTTATTTAAGAAGGGTTTTTCAAAGCTGTACGGCGAAGAGTCAGGCTTTAGAAATGGCCAGATTTGAGACGCCTACTCACAATCCAGGAAAATTTACTAACTGAATTAACTCTCAGGTATTTTATCTGGCAATTGGAGATAAATAGAACATCAAACTCATAGTCCTGCAATGAATATCAAATGGGAGGATATAGGTAAAGGATTTGGTAAATTTGTGTACATGGCACATTCTGCAAAGGTCATGCATTACTCTTTTGACTTTATTATCCTGAGCACGGCCTTGGGGAAGTTATTCTATCATATATCAAGACTTATTCTTGAGAGAAATGCATTTTTTACATACGGCAGTAAAGTACAGGATGAAGGAAAGAGCTTCAATATATGAAGAACCTGACTTATGCTTGGTGCCGGGGATATGCTGATGAAAGAGAGACTCCCAGCTCCTGAGGATCTCAGTCCTCTAAGTGGGACATGGGGCCATTGTGTAGCTCCAACACTGAGTCACAAATACCTTCTCAGATCTATGCTCCACTGAGGGAGTGGTTAACTACACCTAAACTGGCATGATTGAAAGCAGGTCTGAGAGGAGGGATGGATGATTGGAGGGATGGCCTAGCAAAATGCAAGCACAAGCCAGGAGGGGCAGGACAGCTAGGCTTAAGAGACTGGTTAGTGAGCTGACAGAGTTTAGAGTTTAATATACAGAAAGTTGAAAGTCAAAGCTGGAAATTTGAGATGGTCAGGTAGTGAGGGGACTCCACATGATATACATCAAAGGTACTTACTGCTGGAAGGGCAAAAAAAGAGACACCAATCAAGGAGAAGGTGGCAGCAATCAGACGGCCTTCCCACGTTTTGGGGGTCTTGTCTCCGTAGCCAATAGTGGCCAGTGTGATCTGAGGACAGAAGAGTTCAGACATGAGGTCCCCAGGAAGGGGACATCAGTGATGTATCAGCTGAGGTCTACCTCTGATCCTTTGTACCTACTTACTACTCTGTCCCCATTTATAATGAGATTCCCATGGGAGAAAAGTACCAAGCTCTAAGTAACTTATGTGGGACCATCTAGACATTCGCCTATTTTTAGGTTAGTGACTTCCCACCTATAGTCGGTAAACAATTTCAACAAATTATAAGTGTATAGTCATGTGTATATGTACAATTTACCCTCAGTACTTATGGATTCCATGTCTTTGGATTTAACCAACTGTGTATCAAAAGTATTTGAAAAAAACATGATAAAGTAGCAATACAACAACAAAAATCAAATAAATACATATACCAAAAATTTGGACATTTCCATGGTATCAGGTATTTTAACTAATATAGAGATGATTCAAATATACAGAAAAATATGTGTAGGCTATGTGCAGATGTTACACTATTTTAAGCAGCTGTTGAAGCATCTGTAGACTTTGATAACCATGGTGACAGGGAATTTTGGAACCAATTTCCTGTGGATCCTAGCGGATGACAGTATCTGTGAATGTGTGATTTTGTATATGGCCATTTCTGTGAATTGTGCTTGTGAATGCGTTTGTATAGACTGTGCATACACGTATGCAAATTTGTGTAAGTGACTGTCCTGGTCCCTGTAGTATGTCCCACTGTGCATTTACATGTTTATGCTATCAGTACATCTGCACAGATCCACACGTACTTGCCTGTAGAGACCAGGATCAGAGGGCAGGTAACACTGCGTTCTCTGGAACCCAAGAATCTGCCATAAAATACCAGGGCAAACTCTTTTGTGGATGCAAATCTTTAAATTAGTTACTTAATTTTTCATGTCCCAGTTTCCCCATTTCTCAAAAAGAATTCAAGTTTAAAGTATGTTAGTAAATGTAAGAGGTTCAGAGTTATTTTCTGGAGCAAAGTTAGTCTTAGTGTCAGCTTTAATACATTACAGATGTGGGGCTGTAATATAGATCTGTGTCATCAGATCTGCATGCATATGTATGTACTTGTCCCTGGGTTTGCACATGCAAAGCCTGATGATAACAGCCTATGGCTAACAAGGTAAAGTCCATAAGTGGCCATGCAACCAGACTGTTGTGAGCCCTATCTTCTTATAAGCACTGTGAGAAAGTCCATTAGGGGTACATTCCCTGGGGCAGGAGTGTCCTGCCCGTAGGGTCACAGGTAGAAGAGGCAGTTACCTCTGATCACAGAGTACAGCTACCTTCCTAACTATGTCCATACCATGCCCTCCATCTCTCTCTGGTTCTGACAGTTAGTCCCTGTGTGGTCTGCTTTCCAGACGACTCACCAGGCCCCACCAAAGGGCATCTGCGTAGGTCTCAAACTCCTCTTTCATCTCCTCTCCTTGTGCGTCTACTTCTGGAACATCTTTCTCGACCAGGTAGACAAGAAATGAAGACAGGATGAGCGTCAGGAAGCCGATGTACCAGGCGGTGATGAGTTCCTGGAAGAATCAGCAGTGGGTGAGGGAAGTAGTCACTGGGAAGTCACTGGGTGGACGCTGGAGCCACAGTCCCTCCAGCTGGAGTCCAGGTATAGTGATGCATGACACACTTCTGTATTCTCACCTTCCACCGCTAACATGGGAACAGGGCTGTTGGTATCAATTCCAGCGCTGAATAAGGGACAAATGGAAGTTCCTGGGAGGAGAGGATGACTGTTTTTCAGAGAGATATTGATGTCACAGTTCAGTAGGCTTCATGGGAAGATGAAAGATCAACAGAGATTGGCCACTGCATCTGAGATAAGACTCGGGACCCAGGAGTCTTGTTTCTCTACAGGATCCCCCAGCAAGGATAAAGCTCAGTCTTCTAGGGACAACTGACGTCAAGAGAGACCTAGTGGACAGGACCCAGCCCTGCCACCAATTTAGTGACCTAGGACGAATTATCTTTTTTTCCCCAGCCTGAGTATCCTCATTTTAAAATGAAGAGACTGAATTACAAGGGACCTGAAAATGTCACAGGTATTACGGTATTTAAGTTCAGTATTTCAGCGTTCATATAGAACATATGTGACAAATGAAACATGGTATTTCATGGATATTATCTCAGGATAAACTGGGAAAATGAGTAGGTAAACAAGAGGAAGTTGATTTAAAAGGAAATGTTAACAGGAAAACAAAGATGAGTAAAGCATGGAAGTTTCGAGAAGTCTAACAGAGACAATCCCTAACCAGCTTACCAGCTGCTACTTTCTCTATTTCTTCTCTCCGGTGTCATTAGCAAGGTAGGGGAGGTGGGAAGAAAGTCACGATTAGTGATGAATGCAAGCTGGAGGTAAAGCTTGAGATTCTCATGGACAGTGATGACTTCTGCACTGCCCTGCAGCTGGGGCCAACTGAAGACCGCCAGCCCTCTTCAGACTCATGGAACCTTCACTGGGAAGTGCCTGGAATATCTGCTCCCCCAATTAGAGAGAAAGTTTAGCTGTAGTTCCTTCACAGCTTCGCTATTTTCTGCTCTGCATCTCTAATAATTCCTCATTGACCTGGCCTTCCCCACAGCATCATATATATATATATATATATATATATATATACACAGCACTCACTAGTGTGAGTCCATGCTAAAGCATAGGGCAAAGTTCAGTCATCTTGGAACCTAGCCAGCAGCTCTCCTCAGAGAGGATCTGTCCTGCAGGGGTCAAAAAACGAAAGCTGAGTGAGTGTTCTCTCTCTGGTGGCTGAGTGTAAGCCTCCTGCTTTGTCGAATGTGGTTCTGAGATGTATGTTTGCCTTGCGCTCTGGCCCCCAGATGCAAACCAGAACATTTATCTAGTACCTAACCGAAGAAACATCCATCTTCTCACTTGTGCACAGAGAAGCTGGCTACACTAGATTTTTAGGACAAGGCATAATGGTTGTCAGCAAGGAGTGAAAATGAGTCCCCATTCTGGGCTGTGCAGTCATTTAAAATGTTATTCAAGGTAATCCGACTCTGCACATTTTTTGTTAGTAGCTCTGTGGCAGAACTGGTCTCCTTGGCATATGCCAAGGCTGGCTGGGGCTAAGGGACCGGTGTCCAGCCAATATGGCAAAGTGATGGCAGCCCATTCCTCCTTCCCACCCGATGAGTGCATTCCACAGGAAGTGCCTGCCTCAGGGATCAGGCCTCCTTCTGAAGACAAGTGAAGCCAATATAGCACAGGTCAGACACTGAAGGAGCAAAACACTGGTGTCTGTGTGCCAGGTGGCAGAGATTGCTGGGTTTATTTGTTTTGGGAGCACAGCCTGTCCTGTCCTATCGACCTTGAACTTCTATTCCTGTATGACACAGAGCTCCTAATATTCATTTCTGAGTGTCCTTCAGAGTCAAGCACAGAACTCAGCCTGTTGCAAAATAAATACATGAAGAAATGAATGAGGCCTTTGCTGGTTCATCAGGGCATTGATGACTCGCTGGGAAGAGCCTTCTCTCAGCCCTGTCAGCTAGGGGCTTTGTGGGTGTTCCTCGTACGCACTTTGGAGTGAAGCAAGAGCTCAGTATATTCAGGTTCATGAGCAGAGAGCTCTGCCTTGCCTAGTTGGGAAGAGGCCCTGCCTTTGTTTTGGGACTTGGTTCCAAGGTGGGCCTGTCTTTCCTCAGGAATTTCATCACAAACATCCTACGTTTTCTGATAATTACATGGTAAATAGTCAATCCTGGGTTCTATTTTAGTCTACAAGAAGAAGGACCTAAACCTGCCGCTTTTAGCACGATTTCCACCAGAGCTGCGAATCAGTTCCACTTCATGGACACAAGCCTAAGGCTGAAGCTGGGAGGGTGTTGTGGGCCGTAATCCTGTAGGAGGCAAAGTGAGGTGCTGTAGGGAGAAAGAACTCGATGGAGAAGGCTCTGGCTGATTCTGAGGCCAGGGGTTAGAGTGCAAGAGAATAAAACATTGATGGAAAGAAACTGATTCTGAGGTGAAAGATTTCCAGGTATTTTAGGTTTTAGTTAATTTAATTTATACAGCTGTGTGCTGCATAATGATACTTTGGTGAAGAAGGGACCAGATGCACAGCATTAGTTTTGCACGATTCTATTGCCTACTGATGTCATAGTCTTCTTATAAGTACAAATTGTGATGTTTGCACAGTGACAAAATCACCTAGCGGCACATTTCTCAGAACATACGCCCATCAGTAAGCTATATAGGAATGCATATTTATTTGTGATGTCTATGAAGAAAAGTACATTTGGAATAACAAATTCCCCCATTAGTGAGCTTCTAATACTTGCAGACATTAAATCCCACCTTTTCTTACATCAACAGCTGGAGATTTCACATTTTACCACCAGGAAGCTCATAAAATTAGAATGGTATCTTTGAAGTCTTAAATTGGAAAGTGATAGAGCTGAATTCTAAATAGAATGCCTATCTGATCCCTAGTGTATACACTACCATTAGATGTCACCTCCCAGGAAACAGTCCTCAGGATACATAGGTGCATATCTGAGACATAAAAAGCAGGAATATGTGAAAATGTCTGGTTGAAGGTGTCTTCAAAGAGAATCCATAGTTTCCTAAGGAGCTTATTTCCTCATGTCCAGGAAGCAGAGCCAGAGACAAGGATTTAGGTACGTGTGATTTCTTTGTAAGTATTCATAGGGTGGTCCTAGGGTTCCAATAAAGGGGTGCCCACCAGAACTGGCACAAGAGACTCTTCTAGTGAGAAAGACAACCTTGACTTTAAACCCCTGAAAAATAGCTGTCCTGGGCTTCCAGCCTGTCCTTTCTCTGTATTGGGGCATTTCCTACACAGAGGTATTTACTGCTGAGCTGAGACACAGAGGCCTTTTGCCATTCTTCAGGATCCCACTAAAGCAGCTAGGTCAAAGCAAAGTAGTCCAAAGGCTTGGTTAGTAAGAGAAGGAAAATACAAGGAGTTGAATAAATCCAGTCAAACAGACTTAAGGCATCTGGCTTCTGTGTCTACTCAGCCTGGAAGTCTAGGAAACTAGGCTGTGTCCAGCCCTGCTTTCTGGACTCTCCTGGAGAACTGAACAACAGCTTGTCCCTGAGCAAACTATTGGAAATGGGCTCGGAAACTGCACTGCCTGGATTGGTTTCCTATGGCATGACTTTGATGAAGCTCCTTTCTCCCTCTGCATCTGGTTCCTTATCTGTGTAGAAATAGTAACAGTGGTGCCTGACTCCTGGGTGAGCTAGTCCGTGTTAAACACCAAGATCCTAACTGTGCTCTAAGCTTTATATATAACAATAGCAGCTGACTGATTTCTAAGAGGTAACAGTCCTAAATGTTCTGTACGTATCAGTTCATTTCATTACACCCACCCCAGAAGGGACTGTCATTCCCATCTACTTCCCATCTACTAAATATAAGATTTGTGACCCAAAGATCCAAAGCATTTACAAGCATGGCCAGCATCACAGAGGGCAGGGTTTACATTCAACTCAGTCTGTTGAGCCTTTCCCTCCCACCTCATGCTGCCTTGCACAAACTCACCTCATTCTCTCAACATCTGGTAGCAGAGGTGCTATCATCCCTAGTTGGAAATAAGGAGACTAAGGGACAAAAAGAGGTGAGTGACTTGGACAAGGTAATTTGCATACGGTATAGCAGAGACCTACGCTCAGGGGTGCCTGTTCCTCTGGGTCACACCTACACATGTCCCTCTTCCTCTCCTGTTCTTCATTATTGTCATCACTATCAGTGGTGGCAGAGTGACTGTCTCTGGGGACATGGTAAGGGAAGGGAGGTCATTAAAGAGTAGAGATACATGTGAGGCCCACACAGTCTTGTGGCTTCTCAGTGCCGCTTACTTTGCTGTGAGCGCAGATGGCTGAGCCCAGGAGCTTCCAGGTGCCACCCCTCCGGTCCATGCGCAGCATACGTAGAATCTGCAGGAAGCGCAGGCTTCTCAGGGAGGTGGCCAGAACATTGCCCTGGTTTCCAACAGCGACCACAGGCACAGATGCAATCAGCACGAAGATGTCTGGGAAAAGAGAAAGAGAGAGTGGCAGAGGCCAGGGAGAAGAATGTCAGGTGGATGGCATCGTCACAGGTGGCAGATGCACATGTGCCAAGTTGGGAGCTATCTGCAAATGGCTGTGTCAATTCATGACATTAACCACACAGGATATGGATGATTCCATGAGGGTAGAGGAGGAGGCACAGAACCCTGGAAGGGGCCCTCCAAGGCCACACGGCCAGAAGTAATTGACATGGGACTGGATAAAGATGTATTGTACTCCAACATAGGTTCTTCAGTGATTCAATGATTTCCCCAGTCCTCCAGTGTCTCAGATCAATGAAGGACTGAGGACTATCAGGCTGTGAAGGGTAACCCCAATGCTCAGACAGTTTTAATGCATGTTTCTCCAAAAAGCACCCCCTGAGACTGGAACTTGCATGCAAGTATCTTACTGGGAGATGATGTCAGCAAGCATTTGTGATGGGAGAGAGACAGGGAAGAAAAACCAAACAAGGAAAGCAGGCAAACAAAACCAGTAAAGAAGCATTTGTAATTAAGATCCCTGTCAGGTCCTTTGAACTTAGAACATCTCCCAAGATAATCCATCTGGAAGGTCTCAAGTTGGGATGTCAGCTTTTTTACTCCTTTTTTGTTAGCTGAGGGTCCATCCTGGGGTTAGCTGACTTTTGAGATGCACTGGCCTCCTGACCTTTAGAGGATGCCTAGTGGGGGGTATGGAAAGATATGAGCCTGTGATCTGAGATTCTTACGTCAAGTAGTGACAAGGAGATATCCAGCATGGCCATGGCTGAAGTCTGAGGTGGTTGGGGGGTTGGGACACCTCTGAAGGGAACAGCTGGATTCAAACAATCTGGTACAGAAGATAGGAGACCTGATGTCTCTCTGTTCCCTTCAGTGGTATACAACATCCACATCTATGATGTTCCCACTGTCCTGCAGAGTCATAACAAGTAAAAAGGCCTTCATGGTGAAGGACATTTGGGAATGGCCCAATTAAACAAGACTTATTTGCTTTTATAGGGTTCTTTGCATCTTTAATATGCTAAATATACACTGCTGAGTTCAGTTACACAAATGAGTATAGACTGTCCCAAAATATTTTTTTCTTACTAAACTTTGTTATAATGTCTCAAAATTCTATGGCATATGTTTGGTCAAGTAATCTCCACTTAAAAGTGATGACTTTAAAAACTAATGACATAAAACTGCCAACCATAAACAGTCCACAATACATCCTTTTCCCCATCTGAGAGTTTTATGAAGCATTATTTTTGCTAACCAGCCTTTTACCACTGAACCTAGAGGACCCAGGGAACTAACATCTCCGCGATGGTCTCCCACCATGGAGGAGAACCGGCAAGGGGCAGAAATAGTACTCATTTGGCTTTCTAAGCTGGGTGACGTGCTGACCTCATGACTATCTTTTTGTCCAGTGCTTTGATGACACTCCGAACAACTATCTGTTTCATGTCACAAGTATCAGAATGACCCAGAGGAGTAGAGTCAGAGAAGCTCTCACCACACACAAATCAACGAAAGGAGCAACACCAGATTTCAAAAATTTGGGGCGATCTTCCCACTTCTGAGCAGAATGGTGATCATCTTTCCTTTCCACTCAGTAAACCTGCAAACTATGTGAACTGTCTCACATTTCCTGACAGGGCAGAGCCAGCACTAAGTGGCCTGGGTGATTCTACTGGAAGTGAAATCAGCTGCTTCCATGGGTGGGTCATTTTTGCAGTCACAAGCAGCGTTGCCATGATAAACATCTTTGTGTGGCCTACTCTAGACATTAAAGCCTACAGTGTCTCCAGGAGATGCTTCACTTGGAGCTTTCCAGTGTGGCTCAATGGATTTATCTTCAGTTGTGACACTGACTGGAGCAAAAGTGATGACTGCCTTTCCAGATTCCAGAGTACCAAGCTCCCTTCACTGGTCCCACAGAGACAGTACCTGTACCACTAATGTCACAGACACCTGCGAAGGCTTATCAGGTGGATAAGCTGCTGGTAGGATACAATCCAGAGCTCCAGGCAGTGGGATTCCATTGGCAATGCCATTTTTACCAGTGACATTCATCCCTTCAACCAAAGCACGTTAGCACTTGGCCCTGGCGTGTTGTCACCATTCCAGTGAGAAACTGGAACCACTCCAATGAGGCTCCTGTGTCAAATTTGTTTCTAATTTTCTTAATGTAGGTGCTAACATCCTTAATCATTTTCTTGTATTGCTTCTGCTGAACAGTAGCTCTGTAGCATCTATTTTGCTTGTTTTTTGGTTTTTGTTTTTTTATCAGTACCAGGGATCAAACTCATGACTGCTTGCTTTCAAGGCAGGCGCTTATGCCGCTGAGCTAAATCCCCAGCCCCAAGGCATCTATTTTGCTAACACCACTAATTATTTACTTCACACCCAGTGTGTAAGCAGGCTGGGACATTCTGGGAGATACTAGTTACAAGTTCACCAACAATAGCAGCAACTATCAGGAAAGCCCAGTCGCACTGACATGTACTTGGAATCGTGCTTTTGACTAAGGCTCTGTGTCCCGGGGTATCCATGGTACTTAATTCTTGCTTGTGTCATGTTCCACAGGGTCATGTCAGTGGTGACACCACATGCATGTTCAGCTACCCAAGGCCCAGCTGTACTAAGAAGCACTTTCCAGCTCAGCAGCCTCTTTCTCAAACATGTTATGGCTTTTTTTATGGATTCCATCACAATTGCAGGTCACATGGCCAGTAGGGGTGGCCTTGTCCTAATCAACAAGCCCAGAGATAATGACATTGGTATGAGTCTTTTTCTTTCCTGTTAGGACCTTGATTTGGGGGCGGTTTTCACAGCACCTGTGTTCAGGCAGCACACTTGTGAAACATAAAAAAAAAAAAAAAAAAAAAAAAAAAAACCTCCCAAAAGATTTTGCTCTCAGAAGTGGTTCTTGCAAAAGCATCAGGGTTATAAGGAACACACATAAAGAGATGTTGGTGATGGCACCTTTATTTTTTTTGGCATCTGAGAAACTTCTTGATGCACTGGTGATTTGCTGAGCTCTTAGTTCTCTCTCACACCTCCATGCATTTGTGCATTTTTTGTCTCTCAGCTTGGAAAGCATTCTGAATTTTACTCCAGGTGTATTAAAAAAAAGACTTCTCAACAGTCTCCAGGTCCCCCTGAGCCCCACTCTAGGCCTCTGACCTCTAGGAAAACCAACAGGTGAAACAGCTCAGTACTGATTTGTCTGTTCCACTGGGCAAGTGTATCTTAGTCTATCTGTGCAACGTTACTCACTTACAGTGTTTGAAGGAAAAAACAAAACAAAACAACACCCAGATGCACATTAAATGCTGTGGCTACAATGTGAAGATGCCACATCTGATCCCAATAGACCTGTCCAGATCTAAAGTGGCAGGGTCTCAGACCACCTTGAAGGAGAAGGTCATGGTATTTATGAACATGATCACCATCCTCTCATCAAAATCACAGAAAAACCTAGTACTGCTACATGGGTTACTCTATGGAAGAAGTTGAGCTGAGAGGGTGGAAGGCAGTGAATGACCTCAGAAAGAGGAATGTGTGTGGTGGCACAGTTTTAGAGGAGATTCAGTTACTTTTTTCCTCTTTCTTTTACTTCTTTCCATATCTCCTCTTACTTTTCCTCTTTTCCCATCTCCCAGTCTTTGTTCCATGTCTATTGCAAGTGTATTTGTATTCAAGCAGACTTGTTTTTCTCCTCTAGAATGATCTACCTGACACTGGCTCTGTGTGTGTGTGTGTGTGTGTGTGTGTGTGTGTGCGTGTGCGTGTGCGTGTGTGTGTGTGTGTGTGTGTGTGTGTGTGTGTGTGTGATGGGGTTAATGACAGGATGAACCCAAATTCAAACAGGTTCTTGTCCAGGTTGGGATGCCCTGGTATATGGAAGTTGGAGGCCACGGGAAAGACACCTCCCCAGGCAGCATCTCCACTGTCCCGCAGGACTAGGGCTCCAGGCTATCCACTTCTCCTCTTTTTCTGGATGCACAGCCATTATATCTGGCTTCTTTTCTGGTGTTACATTCTGCATTTTGAATCCTACTCATTTCTTCCATATGTGGATCCTGTAACAATGTTATTTTTCTATGTGCTGATGCTTGTGATGATTAATCTTGGTAAACTTCATTAAATTAAAAAATACTCAGCAGATTATTAGAGCACACTCCTAGGTGTTTCTGGGTGGGTCACTGAGGCATGGTTTGGGGTACTATTTTTGGTCGCAAGTCTGTTCCTCTCTAGCACTGTTCCCCTGCTTTACCCAGATGCCATAAATTAAGCATCTGTTGTCTGCTACACCTGTCTACCATGATATTTCTATCTTACAGTCAGTCAACCATGGGCTCAATCCATGAATCAAATCTAACCTTTCTTTCTTGAAGCTGTAGGTTTCAAAAGGCTGCCTAACACAGTGCTTCTCCTCTGTGTAAGGGCAGGTCAAGGGCTGGGCCAGCCTTCACTGTGCCCCCTGACTTCCAATAACAGCTGCTGAAACCTTACTCAGTGAAATAATGAAATAGAGAGGGGATGGAGATGACCACCGGATGAGGGGGCAGGGCTTACCCAGCATGCACAGGGGCTTCCTGGCAAACTTCAGGCGTCCCCGCCAGCCTTTGTATCGGCAGCAGCATCCCGCAGCCCAGATCCTCAAAGCAAACTCGGCTCCAAAGATGAAAATAGCAAATGTTTCCTGTATGGCAGAGCACGTGGAGAGGACTGATTAACAGGGACCCAGTCTCTGGGACTAGAGAGCATTCTGAAGATCGGGAGTGCAGCGCTGTTGTTTTGGAGGGGTACATGGATAGGGGGACAGCTGATCAGCCCCATTCAGCCATGGTGCATTCTCCTCTCTATTAAGCTGTGCTAAGAGTCCCTACATGGCTAGGCTTTGCAAAGTGACTCTTGCTTCTCTTTTTCCATGTTTTTGTTCCAGTGGATCACTTATTTAAAAGAAAAAATGTATTAAAAGCCCTTAAGAAGTGAAGCTCATAGAAGAGAAACCTAATCTGTTAATTCTACCCTGTGCTGGCCCCTGTTTTCCTAATTGTGACTGGTAACCTCTAAGCCAGCAACTGGCCAGGCAACCCCTCAAATATTTCACAACATTCTCATTCTATGTTTGAAAACAAAAAACAGAACAGAGGCAGGTACTAGGATGGAGGACATCGCTGTGTTACTTTCAGAGGACCGGGACACTGTTTTATAATTTAGTAACATGTAGTGGCTTTTGCTTTGCCCTCCTTATACCCTTTATCACTGACCTAGACTACAAATTCTTACCAGGGATGCCATGCTGTGCCCATGAAGCCTCACCAAATGGGGAAGTTACAGTATTTTCTGGGACCTGGATTTGCCTGGAGATCCCAGGAAGCCAGTTAGTCAGCCAGAACTGTGCCCAGGGCAGTGTCACTGTCATCCTTGGGGAAGTTCCACCAGGGCCCAGGACACAGTGTTAACACAACAAGCAGCTCACCAGCAGCAGAAGCCAGTCTCCGGAGACAGTCTCGTACTCCTTGAAGGTGGTCAGGACGGCCAGGATCAGGCACCCCAGGACGATCAGGAAGCTGAAGGAGAGGAAAGAGGAGGGTGAGACAGTTGCAGCCTTGTTTCTTCCATGGGCGAGAAGCGCAGGGCTGCAGGCTGCAGGGTAGAAGCAACGCCTTCCGCTGGCTCTGCTGCAATGGGCTTTATACCTCGTCCCATTTAATCTGTACAGTAACTGGGAAGGCAGCTGGGAATTATTATCCTAGATAAAGAAATCAAGAGGCTAAGTAATAATCTCCATTTACTTAACCACCAGTTAGGAGAGTCAGTTACTCAGGAGTCAATCCAGGTCTTTGTTCCCAACAAGGGACTCATAGAGCACTGAAAGGTGGAGTTACCACAGATTTGGGAAAAGTGAACAAATTAATCAAATATCCTGGACTAAGACAATAATTTTAAAATACAAAAAAATACTGTGAGTGCAAAGAAAATATAAATTCATTTCAAAGATGGACACATTCAACAATACTTTTGTCCTCACGTTTGAGCAATATTATTATTTTTATAGTTAGTGGCTACTAAAGGAAACTCCTTCAACTGGAGATACTCAGAATTGTGTATGAAATGTTAGAAATAACAGGAGCCTCTGAACTGACAGGTGCTGCATACTGGTATTTGAAAATTCATATAGAGATCATCTGCTCCATGCCCCTGCCACAGACTGAAGCAAAATTCGAACAGCCCACTGAGATTTTCATCTTCACCTAAGCTCTTTAACGCAGTCAGTCTGGATCCCTGCTCTGTTTGTGAGTCACATCTAACTATGCTTTGGAGGTCTTTGTTCCTTTCTTCACTCAACAGAAGGAAGTTAACAGTGAATACGCCAGATCCACTGCAGCCCTCAAGAGCTCGAAGTCCAGGAGCAGAAAGCTTCCTCACCTATGAAGGTGAGGACTGGGCTTTAAAGAGGTGGGGTGATTGAAAATACGGGAAATGTTTAAATTCTTAGGCCCTGATTAGAGTAACAGACACACTGCCATGAATGGGTTCTGTGTAAGGCTGAGTATTTTGGAGGCTATGAATGGCAATGTGTCTCTGACGATAAATTCTCATTCGCTACATTTTGGAAGAGCTGGTATATATCTATAAAGTGTGCATAGGTCCTGGTCTCCCCACCCCACCTTATCTGAAGCTTTGGTTTTTGTAGTTTTAGTCATTTGCGGTCAACCATGGTCTGAAAATGGTACACGAATAAGGCTAGAAATAAGTACTTTATGCGTTTTAAGCATTTTTTGTTATAGTGTATGATCACTATTGTATCATCCTATTAGTTATGTTGCTAATCTCTTACTGTGTCTAAATTACAGGTGTGTGACGTGTGTAGGAAGGTGTATAGGCGTGTGGAGTATGTATAAGTCTGGCACTATCCACTGTCCCCGGGACTCACGAAGCATGTTCACATGGGTCCACACAGGCTGTCCATCCACACTAACATCACTTTGATACCCACACTGATCCACAGAGACAGCTCCCTGAAGGACAGCAGCCACCAGACCCTTGTAATCAGCTGAGAGAGGTTGGGGACCGGTGTGCAGAGGCAAGGGTACAGATGGGGAGAAGCCCCTGTAGCTCCAAAGGACCAGTGACTAACAGATGCTGAGGCTGAGCAGGAGGATTATGAGGGGCTCTCAAACTCAGGGGACCAGGTAGATGGCAGGCTGTGACAGCCATCAGGAGGGTGTGCGGGCGCCGGAGGAACCACAAAGATACGAAACAGTGTGTGATCCTGAGGACAAGCTCAAGGTCCAGGTGGAAATCTCCACCATCTGATCAAAAACTAAGTGTAAGCCCGGTGTGGTGGCGCACACCTGTGTGCCCAGCTCTCGGAAGGCTGAGGCAGCACATGGCTGTGAGATCAAAGTCAACCTGGATCACAGAGTGAGTCCTTGTCAAAAACGAAAAACACAAAAACTCAGTGTAAAGTTTGGAAGAGAGGTTGGGGCTGGATACATAATACACTTGTAGTGCTGGCTTTGCAGCCACCTAAGCCAATGGGCGACTCAGCCTTCACCAACCATTACCGAAACGCAGTTGCAGCAGAACCAGACTTTTGCCAGCAGGGGGCAGCAAATATCCACACAGCTCTTCAGTTTTCTCACCCTCAACAGCAACTCCTGCATCTACTTTCTGAGATTGGAGAACAGTCATTACTTTATAATAAATAACCGAAGAAGCCCTCTTCAGCCCGTGAAGAGGAAGCACTCCTTGGTTTTTGCAAGTTTTAATGTATACTTAAACAAAAAGGTGGTTTTAGACAAGGCTCATAGTCAGCCTCGCTGTGTCTCTGGACCTGACAGCTGCTTCCCCCTTCTCTTGCTGGCTTGGTGCAAGCTCTCTCTCTCTCTCTCTCTCTCTCTCTCTCTCTCTCTCTCTCTCTCTCTCTCACCAGATCGCCTTCTTTCCTTCCTTTTGCCCCCCACCCCTGTCTCTTTGGCTCCTTCTCTGTAGCCCTGACTGCTGCCTTCACTTCTCCCTCAGGGCCCTCCCTCTCCCAGCTGTTGTTTTCTCTCCTTACTGTTTCCTTTCTGCCTCCTCTCCTGTCTTCCTCTGCTCCGACCTCTGTTCTCTGTCACTTCTGACATGAGCCGTCTAGGTTCTGGGCATAGCCACCTGTGTGTCTCCTGTCTGCTGTGGCCTGGCTGTCTCTGCAGATGATGCTGGTGCATCAAAAGGGCTGGGGAGGCCCTCAAATCAGACACTGCCCACTGCCAGTTCCCACCTCTGTCCTCTCTCCTCACTCTGTGCCTTCTCCAAGTGAACCAGGAAGGGGAGGTGTTGGGGAGCAGGCACAACAAGGTCCTGGGGTCACTTCCACTGTGCGGTCTCTTGGCTCCTCCTCCTCCTCCTCTGCATGTTTGCATCTGTGTGTGGGGGTGCACTGCCCATGTCTATGTTGTTCTCAGAGACCCCCACTACTTTCCGCTCTGTTTGCAGTTTTTACTGAGCTCCTTTTAGTAGCTCAAAAAATGTCCTACATAAAAAGGGAGGGCGGATCCTTGCGTCTCCCCTAAATGCCCCACATCTGGGACCATCCTCCAGGGCCAGGCGAGGTCAGAGCTGAACTGTCCAACAGAGCAGCTGTCACTGACACCCAAAAAATGCAGAGACCAGGGTCCTACGGGTCCCCAGCTGAAATGCCTGAGAGACAAAGCACCCATGTAGGCCAGGGATTCCTTTTGTCTGCTTTTTCCTTTTTATAAATTGGTATATAATATCTATATGTATTTATGAACTGTTTCTTCTAGGTTCATCCACGTTGTTACAAGCAACAGGATTTTATGCTTTCCATGACTGAACTGTATTGCATTCTGCTAACAAAAACAAAACAGACAAATGGATCACATCAAATTAAAAAACTTCTGCATAGCAGAGGAAACAATCAACAGTGAAGAGTGAGCCCACAGAATGGGAGGATATATTTTCAAACTATACTCTGACAAGGGGTTGAGATCCAGAATGCAAACGGAACTCAACAAAACTCAAGAGCAACAAGTCAGTAATTCAGTTTTAAAACATGCTAAGAATCTGAATACACTTTTCTTAAATACAGCCACAGGAATTTGTTTTTTGTTCCTATGAATTATCCTTCCCCAAAGAATGTTTAAGTTTTTCAGAGCAGGTTTGACTGACGCTTTGTTTGTTCGTTTTTTGTTTTCTTTCTTTCTTTCTTTCTTTCTTTCTTTCTTTCTTTCTTTCTTTCTTTCTTTTCTTTCTTTCTTTCTTCTTTCTTTCTTTTTTGGCACTACTGGGAATTAAACTAAGGCATTTGCACAGAAATGTATCTCCCAGGCTTGCTTATTTATTTATTTAATTTTGACACACAGTCTTGCCAGTTTGCTAAGTACCCTGTCCTGGCTGGAACATGTGGTCTTCCTGCCTCAGCCTTTCAGAGTGCTGGTATTAGAGGTAAGTGCTATCATACCTGGCAGATAATTTTTAGTTTGCAAATCCACTGGTATGGATTGATGAAGGCTGTCTAGAATGCTGTGTTGAAAGGATTCAGATTGCTACTATCATAATTTATATTAAGATACAGCCCCCAAAGCCTCCTGCTCTCATAGGTAGGGCTTTTGGCAGGTGACTGGGTTATGGGTATGAGGTCCTCATCACTGGCCTAGTGCACTGATAGGCTGACAGCTAAATATGATGCTGGGAGGCGAAGCTTGATGGGAAGAGGTAGGTCACTGGGCGCGTGACCTGGAAGTACTTAGATCTTCCTCCCATGATCCTGCTCTGCTTCCTGCTTGCCCTGCTATGAGCTGTTTCTCCTCTGCCTGGCTTCTCTGCCATGATTCCTGCCTTGGAACTGCTGACTAGGAAATAAAATCTCTACAAACTGGAAGCTAAAGTAAACCTCTTCTTTAGCTCGTGAGTATTTTGTCACAATGAGAAAGTAACTAAGAGAAGGACCACTTAGTGGGCAAAGTGCTATTGGAGACTTGTCTGCCACGAGTACAGGGAAGACTAAGAATTTGCCATCCCTTTGGAACACAAGCATGTAGAGCCACGTCAGATCTAAAATCATTTTTCTTTCTTTCTTTCTTTCTTTTTTTTTTTTTGGTCTTTTTCATTTTTTATCGGTACCAGGGATCAAACTCACGACTGCCTGCTTGCAAGGTAGGCGCTTATGCCGCTGAGCTAAATCCCCAGCCCCCTAAAATCATTTTTAATGTTTCTTTTTGCCTGACTTGAATCATGCTAATTTCTCTCAAATTTCATCAACTAAAACTTTCAAGAACTCGTACCTCCATCTCACAGAAAGTAAACTTGGGCTGCAGAGTCTGAGGCTCACTAATGGCTACCAAATGACTTCTTGCAGAGAGAGCACAGGAGCCTGAGCTCCTAGTTCTCAGCCCGGTACACTTCCCACTGTGCCGCCCTTTGCTTTGTCTTTGATAAACTAAAGAGAGCATCTTCATGGCCACTCCTTCTATTCTTTTAGCTAGCTACACTCTGTTCCCTTCTATTGAATTTTCCCACATCAGATAAAAAGGCAAAGTACAATACACCAGGGTCACTC